ATTTAGTGCGGAAAATTGTGGGGAAAATTGTAAAACACAGCTCTCGCATTCTTTTTTACAATTTTGAATTCCTTCCATTAGGTCGTCGTCTGCGCATGCCAATAGCTAGAACAAACAGGTTCTGTCATTCTTTTGTACCAGCCAGTACTCATTATTTTAACAACAGTTAATCTTAAATATTTATATTCACCAAAACATCTTACCATCATGTATACCATTTCACACCGCTACGTTTTTTACCTCAACATTTCAGTTCATCATATCCTACTCCTCACCGGTTTTAGTGCTCTCATCTATTTATTTGTTTACTATCTCAGTGCTTACTGAAATGTGATATGTTGCAATTCCTTGTTTTGTTCTGTCTTATGTGTTTCACGTTGTAACCAAAATTTCCTTAGGGATAATAAAGTATTATCTTATCTCTCTTATCTTAGTATCTGTGCTAAGACACTAAGTCCTATGTTTAAAGTAAGACGAGAAATGTTTGGAAAATGCTTTTCGGCTTCAATATCAATAGGATGATAAAAGCACATATATGATACACGTACGACTTTACCTAGTTGGATATTAAAGCTCAGATGAAAAAATGCACTTGAGGGGTGACTTCACAGGAGGAAATTTTGACGTTTTAACAACATTCGTAAATATTCTAAGTACAAACTGTAGTTTTGAAATACAGACTATAATTATTCATATAGCCTCAACTAATTAAATTACATAAATGATTGTAAAAAGTTTTGGTTTATTAACATCTATACATGAAAAAGATGGAACTATAGTAGTAGTTATGTTTAAAATAATTACTTTAAAAAATCTTAATTCAAATCGCATAGATAATCTTGTTCACCTATAGAAGTTTCACTTCGTGTATGAGCATTGAACTGGCAACATGCGACTTGATATCTCTGCAGAACAATTAATTTCAAAATTATATCAGTATTTCATACTGGAGAAACAAAGGGGGAAAGCTCTCGTCAGCTATGACAGGGTTTACTATAGAATGTGTAAAGCCCTTAATTTGACATATAGTCAGGTTTACAAAGTTGTAAACAAATCAGTTACCTCAGGGGTCGTGTCAAAATCAAAACCAGGTAGGAAACACAAACTGGATAGCTTTGATAAGGGTGTCATACGCAATGCAGTTTATAACTGTATGAAGGCAAAATCCCACCGATGTGTGCTAAAATACAAGATGAGAACAAAAATACAATGAACGTCCTGTTGTATATTTCAGCTAGAGTCCTCCACCTGCAGTGATACTGGCACTTGATATTTTGAGACGGTCCCTGACATGCACTGCCTGTGCGTTACATAATGCTGTCACCCTGTCTGCCTGCCAGGTGGGTCACAGTATCATTTGTTTCTTAGAAGTGTTTCTACCATTGAAGATTTTCTAAGTTTTTCGATATTTTACGAGTAATCATTATCATTAGGGAATGGTACATCATGATTACTCATATGCCATATTAGGTCGAGGTGGTATGAATGATTATATATGAGTTTTGAATCTGAAATATCAACCATTATCAAATAATTGCCAAAAAGCATTTTCCAAGCATTTCTGGCCTTACTTTAGTATCCTCGCCAAGACGCTAGTCCTATATTTAGTATCCCACCTAAGGTACTAAAGTACTGTCGGAAATAGAAAAAAACTATTTTCTCATTTATCTCTACAATTTATGTAGTTGATATGTGAAAATATGAAATATCTGTTAAACTAAGTTCGGCATTACTACAGTCTCAGTGGTAGAGAGAAAGGAAATGGAGAAAATGGACTTTACTGAAGGTAAATTAGTGCAGAAATGAGCAATGCAGGTTTTTTTAAGTCCAAAAAGACTTATTTGGAACAGACAATGGCTTTATGCAAATTAGTGTGCGACGATATTGTATTACAAAGGACACTTTTTAAATGCCCAATTTGAAATTAGACGTAGATTCATTATAAACGAAAGCTGACGTAGAAAATAATAACTTTTATGCTGAAACTATTAAGGATGTAGCTACCATGCAGTCTCACTGTCACTATAAAAAGAAACAGATAGGAGGGGGTCATCTCAAAATCAAAACCTGGGGTCGGGCTGGGGGATAGAGATATCAGCTAAGATAAGATAATCCTTTAGGGCAATTATACTGGGGAGGTACACGGCACGTCATAACAATTTACAAATAATATCCAGTCCTATCAATCTTCGGGTGACAATGCGGGTGGTCATGCCACCTATATACTACAATGCGTTTCTATGGTTTTCGGGTATCATACTCTTTTACATATCTCAACATAAACGTTATGAAAGAAAGACACGTAAGATCTTAATCAATAGATGAGGCATAGTCAACACACATGAAAAAGCTCAAAATATCTTTGAGATGATCCGTTGTACCTGTAGGCAGCACGTGCATTTCATGCCAGGTGAGTCGACGGTCCGTTGTCATACCTGGCTGTTGACCTAATTGCCATCTATAGTCTGATCTATTGTTTTCAGCGGCTATTCGTATTTTTTCTAAGTTTTGCCCGATTTTACGAGTAAGCATGCTTTTCTTGATATCGTATTACGCATCCCACTGAACGCCAAGTTAGGCCGAAGTGGGCTATTTCGGCATATGCTATTTGCAATTGCGTAAATTTAAGGGATACAGAGTAACAGTCTAAAAACAATTTTTTCTATTTCCAACAGTACTATAGTCCTATATTTAGTATCCCAGCTAAGAATCTGTACTTTACTGGGAAAGTGCAATCCCAAATATAACATGTGTTACATTTGACCACTTTCTAAATGGCATTGTATATTCAAAAAGTATTTTTCATTTTCCAAAACCCAGGTGATTAGATACTTGTGACAGGAATGTGTCCGCCTATGCTTGGTGATATTTGTATCAAAACAAACCAGTAGGCAACCAACTAATTATCAACAAGTATTGATTTGAAGAATGCATTGTTTTGAAAATAGGTGAGCCTGTCACCATGACTGGATGAAAAGTTGTCTACGTTCTCAGTATTATACTGTATATGTGACGACTTGATGTAAACACATAAAGAAATGATGACAAAATGATAACAATGTTTTCAAAGGGTAACATCAAAGTCATCAGATCGCCAGTATAATGTTACTAAACACTGTGGTAAGAGTTCCTCCTGTTCCCCCATCCCAAATAATATTTAGGAGATAAACGTACTGTGTTTGGAAAATAGATGAATGTTAGACCGAATTGATAGTCTCTAAATTTCATTTGAAGCCGAACGCATAGTGTGAGGTTTCAAATGATTAATTTAGAGACTATCAATTCGGTTTAACATTCATCTAATTTCCAAACACAGTATGTTTATCTCCATTCTACCATAACCGATTTAACATCGAACTTCCTCGTCCTGCGGAAGACACAGCATAATCCGGCATGGGATGAGAGACGAATTGAACTCGTCTGTGAAGGGAGTGGTAGGTTCCGTTCGAAATTTTTACCATTGCAACATAAAAAATATTCGGTCCAAAGAAAACAAACTACTGTTTATTCAATGCAATAAAGTAACACCTAAGAGCTTGGTTTTTATAATCATAACTCCACACGACCGAAACCAGCCTATTGTTTTGTGTGCCGTGTTACTGTACCCCATTGGCCACACTATAATGGAATCGTCTGACCTACTTATTTTCTTGGAAGTAGACAGTTATACAACAGTTTGAAATGGTGGACGAGCCAGTGTTTACATTTTGCGAAAGGTTGAAATTCGAAGTGACTGTGGAAAATACTTGACTGACTGTCGAACCTGAACCCAGCAGAATCGAAGAATAGATCCTTTTCTGATTGACCTATGACCTGTAACTCACCAAAGACTGTTGATTTTTATGACCGGCGAGTGTCTATCATGATTTCACGTACGTGCCTCCACCCGGCATGCGACTAAAGAGTGACAGTGCTGCTTTGTGTACATGCGACTAACTTTTAGATTTCTTGGAACATTGTTCTCATCATTGGGACTGGATTGTGGCCAAGCTTTTCAAAGTGTACGAACATAGCAGTGACAGCTTTGCGGGAAGGTGGCAGAGAGCGGAATTCTCATGGTTCAGTTTTTGACATTTTGAACGATGCAACGGGACATGATGGAGTATGAGTGGCAAATTTTGTGTTTCGCCTGACCGTTATCTTGTGAATTTCCTATTCTAAACGGAAACAAATATACTATTTACCAGGTAGGTAAATGTAAATTTGCCGCACAAATAGGGATAGATAGCGATGTATTTTTACAAGGTTTTCTGATTTACATGTTTGATAATGTTTGTTTATGTTTGGGGCTGTGTATTGTAATTGAGTTTGAGTTAATAAATATGATAGTGAGGTTCCTTAATAATTGTGAGGTTCCCTAATAATTGTGGAGGAGAAATGGTATAATTGTATTTTTCGAGTTTTAATAAATGTTTCATCAGCATTTCCATCACGTCGAACTGTTGTGTTGATATTAGTCATGTTGGTGGCCAAGCTGAAGTAGTGCGGCAGTGTTGTATACGTGCGCAGTGAAGCGCTGTGAAATCAGACGCATTTTCAATCCTAATTGATACCGTCTGATTTTATGGATTGACCAATCAATTTCGAGCATTTCACGTAGCCATGGTAGAATTATAAATATACTAAAATTTATTAACAAAACTTAACACAACAATTACTAGAGAACTCACAAAATGACTAAATGTCCAAAATTTACGTTTGGGTTAGGTTTAGGGTTAGGTTAATTTAGAGTTTGGTTTAGGGTTGGGGGAACGGAAGGAACTCGTTCCAAAACTGTTCTGTCTGGACGCTGATTCATAGTCACTGGATGATGACGAGGAAATTCCGTCCGTTTTTTGTTCTCAACTCGCAACGAAACAACACAACACAACAGGTGGCAAGACGAGATAAGAGAAGTGTCGGCAAGTGCTGCCTCCTACCCAGTGCTCATCTTCCCACTGATACAAACATACAGGTACTTGGATCAAACCTGCATCTTTGGCTACCCCCTATCTCCTCACCTGTTAACACCAGGGACGATGTGTTTTTTCAGCGCGCACCTGTAGCCGGAAATAACCTGAAGCAGGAACAGTAACTCTCGTCGCTTTGTTTTTATTTACATTCTTTGTGACGTACAGTGGAATAGGTAAAACATCTCACCATTAACACCATGTCTGCACAGAAATGTACCTCAATTCTCCAATATATATAACGTCTCATGTATATTTCACCATGTGGTAAAAGTGCCGGGTTAAAAACGGTTAAAATGTTTAAGCATCCATGTGATACAGAGATGTGTTAATGACTGAATGTTTTCAAACAATCACCCCAGGCTCCCTGCTGCATTGTTGACGTAGTACAATATGGCACTGTTTGCGAAAATCCTAATGTAATGACGTCATGTATCAGCAATGACTTGGCGCGACTGGTTACGTCATACTTGTCCTCTAATTGCTTCAAGTCGTGATTTTCAACATTAGTTTACATCTCGGCATACAGAGTGCACAGTAAAGAGATTATTTCGTGTGTGTTTGTTAACAGTGTTTCAGTTTGAGACGTCTATAACAGTATTTGAAGGGACGTCACGTGTGTATTATAAGCCAGTTAATAAGGGAACATTCAACAGTATTTCTGTCCAAATCATCAGCGACGTGCAAACAGGTCAATTGCGATGTAACCGCGGTAAAACCCGTCCTTTATTGTGAGCATGCCACGAAATCAAAAATGTCATTCACACCCACGACACTGTTCGTCTCTGCTGGTGTCCTTTACGCCAAGAGTCACAAACTGAAGGAAGTAGCAAATGAAGCGCACGTAAAATATATATGTATATTTTTTATCGCTTTTACACAAAGTACACTCTGACTTCCAAAATAAGCTTGGCCACAGCAAGACGAACGCGTAGTCTCTGAATATATATAATTTTGATAGAAACAAACAATTCAAATAAATCGAAAAGGAGCCCCAGTTAGAAGAAGGGTGATTCAGAACCCGAATCTTAGGAAATATAGATTTGCTTCATATATAGTGCTTTAGCATCGCAGAAAGGGCTCGGCGGATGGGAAAATAATGTGGTTCAGAGACTGTGAGACTGCTAATTATCCGGTGTCTTAAGTCTCCTCGTGTTCGGAAATAAAAGTGAATATTTGGTTGTGAAATCTATCACAGCACGAACAACAGCAATGTGTTACTCTCCTTAACCAGCGATACATCCAGCTAGTTATAGTTGACGCTGTTTACTGTATGCCCCAAAGATATATCTCTGGTCGTGTTTACTGTATGCCCCAAAGATATATCTCTGGTCGGGTTTACTGTATGCCCCAAAGATATATCTCTGGTCGTGTTTACTGTATGCCCCAAAGATATATCTGTGGTAGTGTTTACTGTATGCCCCAAAGGTATATCTGTGGTAGTGTTTACTGTATGCCCCAAAGGTATATCTGTGGTCGTGTTTACTGTATGCCCCAAAGATATATCTCTGGTCGTGTTTACTGTATGCCCCAAAGATATATCTCTGGTAGTGTTTACTGTATGCCCCAAAGATATATCTCTGGTCGTGTTTACTGTATGCCCCAAAGATATATCTGTGGTGTTTCTGTGATATTTACTGTATGCCCCAAAGATATATCTCTGGTCGTGTTTACTGTATGCCCCAAAGATATATCTGGTCTGTGTTTACTGTATGCCCCAAAGATATATCTGTGGTCGTGTTTACTGTATGCCCCAAAGATATATCTGTGGTCGTGTTTTACTGTATATACCTGTGGTCGTGTTTACTGTATGCCCCAAAGATATATCTGTGGTAGTGTTTACTGTATGCCCCAAAGATATATCTGTGGTAGTGCTTTATCTCTGTATGCCCCAAAGATATATCTGTGGTAGTGTTTACTAGTGCTTTCTGTATGCCCAAAGGTATATCTGTGGTAGTGTTTACTGTATGCCCCAAAGATATATCTGTGGTAGTGTTTACTGTATGCCCCAAAGATATATTTCTGGTCGTGTTTACTGTATGCCCCAAAGATATATCTCTGGTCGTGTTTACTGTATGCCCCAAAGATATATCTGTGGTAGTGTTTACTGTATGCCCCAAAGATATATCTGTGGTAGTGTTTACTGTATGTCCCAAAGGTATATCTGTGGTCGTGTTTACTGTATGCTTGCGTGACTTATTCGTGGTAGTGTTTACTGGACGCGGCAATGATATCTATACTATTTCTGACGATATAACTTACGATATCATTTACCAGATATATATTTGAGTGACAGGTCGATGTTATGTAGAGTGTACTTGGCTGACTACAGGTAGGTGTGATGTAGCAGGGCTGACTACAGGTCAGTGTGATGTAACAGGGCCGACTACAGGTAGGTGTGATGTAGCACCGCTGACTATAGGTCGGTGTGGTGTAGCAGGGCCGACTACAGTTAAGTGTGATATAGCAGGGCCGACTTCAGGTCGCTGTGATGTAGCAGGGCCGACTACAGGTAGGTGTGATGTAGCAGGGCTGACTACAGGTCGGTGTGATGTAGCAGGGCCGACTACAGGTCGGTGTGATGTAGCAGGGCCGACTACAGGTCGGTGTGATGTAGCAGGGCCGACTACAGGTCGGTCGTATGTAGCAGGACCGACTACAGGTCGGTGTGATGTAGCAGGGCCGACTACAGGTCGGTGTGATGTAGCAGGGCCGACTACAGGTCGGTCGTATGTAGCAGGACCGACTACAGGTCGGTGTGATGTAGCAGGGCCGACTACAGGTCGGTGTGATGTAGGAGGGCCGACTACAGGTCAGTGTGATGTAGCAGGGCCGACTACAGATCAGTGTGATGTAGCAGGACCGACTACAGGTCGGTGTGATACCGGTCGCATGTTCCTGACAGAAGTCACCATGATTATGCTCCCGTGTTATCAGCATCACATCCGGTTCCTTGGGTTTCGTAGTATATGTTTAAGACATGTATCAATTTCGGCTATCCACAGGTTGAAAATAGGCTTTTTAGAGATGTGGAAAGGGAAGGTTGAAAATTAGGTACTGTGTTTGTGAATTGGGGAGGTGGGGTAGCCTAGTGATTAAAGCGTTCGCTCGTCACACCGAAGACTCTAGTCGATTCCCCACATGGGTACAAAGTGTGAAGCGAAGTGTGAAGAATTTCTGGTGTCCCCCGCTGGAATATTGCTAAAGGTGGCGTAAGACTGAACGCACTCACTCACTCACTCAATCGTACGCCCTGTCAAAACTGGAATACTGTTAATTTCACCTACTTACAAGCATCAGAAGGCACACAATGAAGAAATATATTCCAGTAATATTCACACTTTTAATTATATGTACATATATGACACCATCAAGTTGGTACTCTACAGAAAAGTGCCAAGCTTAGAGCATAAGACTGTAGGCTATAGCATGTTCTAGAGCCACGAGTTAAAACTTCTCGAAGCTTTAATTACAGGCACTGAATTTGAGACTTTTCCTCTGCCACCCATTATAACACTTCTCCCTGGATATCTCGAGACATGTTTTATAGCCACCTCGTGGTCATCAATACTGAGGAGACATTCACTTCCCTGATCATCTCACTTCCGCTTCCGACTCCCCGTCTATCTCACTTCCGCTTCCGACTCCCCGTCTATCTCGCTTCCGCCTCCGACTCCCCGTTAATCCCAATTCCGCTTCCGACTCCCCGTCTCTCTCACTTCCGCCTACGACTCCCCGTCTATCTCACTTCCGTCTCCGACTTCCCGTGTATCTCACCTCGAGTTTTGACACAACATTCATCTTACTTCCGTATTTGACACCCTTGTCAAATCACTTCTGGGGTCGACAGTGCACATATACAAACACAAGGAACACTTGTGCGTGGAGCTCCGCACAGACACAGCGAACGTTTGTATCTAGAGCTCCATACACTATAATGATACACACACAACGAGCACTTGTGTGTCCCGCATCCTTCACTGATGCTGTCTTCATTAATAGGGGAGTCATATCGTCTTTCAATGAAACGCAAAAACAAATAACAACAGTACCTGATAGCATTAAAGTTGAATCAGTAGTCAATATTTGGCCGTGTCCAACTTCTTACATCACTAGCACCACCGTTAAACACAAACACTATTCTGTCTATGCTACTCTGTACGTGGCCAAATACTAACAGGTCCCAACCCCGTCCATCTTCAAGCGACGGTGTACGGGTCAGTAGCGGGAAGCGAAATATGAAATGATAAAAGAAACGTATCTTAGTGCGTTATTCACTGACTAAAGAATTCATATGTCGCTGTTTTGACGTTTTGTTTTGTTGTCCGTTTTTAACAATATCTGGGAAGTGGTTCTGATCGGCTGGTGCGGAGCCGCGCAGGAGCCAGGACATGACCAAGTCTTGGGATTTACACTCTCCAGGAAGCCGGGGGCGCTTGTGCGCCACATCTGAGGATGGTTTGGTGGTAAGACTTTCATGTTGCTTTGTTTCAAAGTTATATTTGTGAACACTTTGTCTCACTGTTTTGTCTCTGATAGTCCTGGAACTATGACCAAGGTGAACAGGAACCTTGCCACCATGATGGTTTGTTGAGTAAACCAGATCCTGTCGTCTGCTCTGTTTGGAATGCATGAGACAAGGTGACGCGCGGATTTGAGGCAAAATATAGGAAGAGTCAGCCTTCAGGAAGTTGGCTCGAGCAACCTGGCTGATGACGTCATTGGAATCCTCGTTAGGATCAGTGCCATGATCCATCGCACTGAAACATAAGAAGACAAACATTGAACTGAAACATAAGAAGACAAACATTGAACTGAAACATAAGAAGACAAACATTGAACTGAAACATACCAAGACAAACATTGAACTGAAACATAAGAAGACAAACATTGAACTGAAACATAAGAAGACAAACATTGAACTGAAACATACCAAGACAAACATTGAACTGAAATATAAGAAGACAAACATTGAACTGAAACATACCAAGACAAACATTGAACTGAAACATACCTTTTTATTACGGACATAGTCCGTAACTTGAAGAACATCATCTGCTGTGTACTAGTATCCGTTATACACTAGTTAGACACACAGCGATTCTCAATCAATCTTGCGTGTTATATTACCATGGTATACATCGTTATGTGGACTGGGGTCTCAAACTGAAGATGTTTTGTTCCATCAGGACCATGCACACGTCTACAAGTCTCTTGTTGCCCTGACGCCAAGGCGTTACTGTGTGTTGGAACTCACTGGACATCCTCCCTATTTACCCAAATCTGAAGGCAGAACTGTCTTGCAGGAACAATGTTAACGACATGTCTGCTGTAGAGGCCTTTTACAATCACCTTTGTAGACACTCCAGTATCGTTCGCAGAAGTGGGTGGACACTGGAGGAGATTTGGAAATACAGAGAGCCACCACCTAAAACGACGCAGTGCATCATAGTCACCCCTCGTACAGTGATTCCGTACAATACAAGCAACAACGGATGTTATGCCGAGACCACAGCCAGTATCTGTGAACAGCACTCTGTTCTGTACATCTTCACGCAGTATGTACCACCCACTTTCTGTAGACCATCAGTTTACACCCAGGGTATACCAACCACTTTCTGTAGACTATCAGGCGACACGCAGTATATACCAACCACTTTCTGTGGACCATCTGACTACACGCTGTATATACCAACCACTTTCTGTAGACCATCAGGCTACACGAAGTATATACCAACCACTTTCTGTAGACCATCAGGCTACACGCTGTACATACCAACCACTTTCTGTAGACTATCAGACTACACGCAGTATATACCAACCACCTTCTGTAGACCATCAGGCTACACGAAGTATATACCAACCACTTTCTTTACCAACTATCAGGACTCAGACACGCTGTACATACCAACCACTTTCTGTAGACTATCAGGCTACACGCAGTACATACCAACCACTTTCTGTAGACCATCAGGCTACACGCTGTATATACCAACCACTTTCTGTAGACCATCAGGCTACACGAAGTATATACCAACCACTTTCTGTAGACCATCAGGCTACACGCTGTACATACCAACCACTTTCTGTAGACTATCAGACTATCAGGCTACACGCAGTATATACCAACCACCTTCTGTAGACCATCAGGCTACACGAAGTATATACCAACCACTTTCTGTAGACTATCAGGCTACACGCTGTACATACCAACCACTTTCTGTAGACTATCAGGCTACACGCAGTACATACCAACCACTTTCTGTAGACCATCAGGCTACACGCAGGATATACCAACCACTTTCTGTAGACTATCAGACTACACGCAGTACATACCAACCACTTTCTGTAGACCATCAGGCTACACGCAGGATATACCAACCACTTTCTGTTGACTATCAGACTACACGCAGTATATACCAACCACTTTCTGTAGACTATCAGGCTACACGCAGTACATACCAACCACTTTCTGTAGACTATCAGGCTACACGTAATTTGAAACAACTGCCTTCATTTCATAATTGTTACCGCAGTCATTGTTTATCGGTTGATCGATCATACAATCTTATAATCTAATTTCTTCAATACCCCGACTTATCGATATGTAATCAATTACAGCTTGTATCGGACTACGATCTACAGCGGCACACGCCCGGGACTCCGCCAGCCAGTCAGCGAGCACCTTGTGTTGTATGGAGGCGCTGACAGAAGTTGCTGTTGGACTGTCGCTTCCAGTCAGCTAGACTAAGGCTTAGTCTCTGAATATATATAATTTTGATAGTAACAAACAAGCCCATTTATATTGAAAAGGAGCCCTAGGGAGACCAGAGATTCAGAACCTGAAGGAAACCTGAGGAAATCTAGACTTGCTTTATTTAGGGCTTTAGCACTGCAGAGAGGGCTTGGCAGTAGGGAAGTAGGGAAATTAATGTGGTTCAGGGACTGTGAGACAGACTACCAGTCAGCGAGCACCTTGTGTTGTATGGCTGTAGGAGGCGCTGACAGAAGTTGCTGTTCGACTATTCGCTACCAGTTAGCCTCAGTTCCCAGAGAACAAAAGCTTAAGCTTAGACACGTGGATTCATAGATTGAGAAAGAGAACATTAGATCTGTTAGCGGTATTCATTACTGTTGACACACGAGCTACCTTATCTGCTGGACATTGTGTTACTAATAGGGTTAACAGCCAATATAGCATGTAACTTCTTATACATGTTTTCATCATCGTGGAACATATCATGTAGAGTCTGGACAAGACTGTCTGTGTTATATGTGATATGAATGAACCGGATACTAGTATATGACATTGCCCTGTTGTCCATACACGCACGAACACACTGCAAACTCAATCAGTGTTCTGCTTGAAGGATAAATCTCCAATACCACATTCCAAAGCTAGGACAAAAAAGTCAAATCGTTTTGGGGCGCAAGCAGAACAATGGGGGATAATAAAATTAAGGACAGTTGAAGTAGACGGTCGCCGTGCGTTATGTGAGGGTGATATAAGTGTATATACACAACCAACCTGCCATATAACTGCAGCTAGGGCGCCGTCAGGTTGTCAGCTGTTACTGCAGACGTACGCCAAGATACTGGGTTGTTAATCACAGTTCGCATATCTAGGTACTGGGTGGTTAATCCCAGTTCGCATATACATGTATAGGTGCTGGGTGGTTAATCCCAGTTCGCATATACATGTATAGGTGCTGGGTGGTTAATCCCAGTTCGCATATACATGTATAGGTGCTGGGTGGTTAATCCCAGTTCGCATATACATGTATAGGTGCTGGGTGGTTAATCCCAGTTCGCATATACATGTATAGGTGCTGGGTGGTTAATCCCAGTTCGCATATACATGTATAGGTCCTGGGTGGTTAATACCAGTACGCATATTCATGTATAGGTGCTGGGTGGTTAATCCCAGTTCGCATATACATGTATAGGTGCTGGGTGGTTAATCCCAGTTCGCATATACATGTATAGGTGCAGGGTGGTTAATCCCAGTTCGCATATACTAGTACATGAATAGGTGCTGGGTGGTTAATCCCAGTTCGCATATACATGTATAGGTGCTGGGTGGTTAATCCCAGTTCGCATATACATGTATAGGTGCTGGGTGGTTAATCCCAGTTCGCATATACATGTATAGGTGCAGGGTGGTTAATCCCAGTTCGCATATACTAGTACATGAATAGGTGCTGGGTGGTTAATCCCAGTTCGCATATACATGTATAGGTGCTGGGTGGTTAATCCCAGTTCGCATATACATGTATAGGTGCTGGGTGGTTAATCCCAGTTCTCATATACATGTATAGGTGCTGGGTGGTTAATCCCAGTTCGCATATACATGTATAGGTGCTGGGTGGTTAATACCAGTACGCATATTCATATATAGGTGCTGGGTGGTTAATCCCAGTTCGCATATACATGTATAGGTGCTGGGTGGTTAATCCCAGTTCGCATATACATGTATAGGTGCTGGGTGGTTAATCCCAGTTCGCATATACATGTATAGGTGCTGGGTGGTTAATCCCCAGTTCGCATATATACATGTATAGGTCCTGGGTGGTTAATACCAGTACGCATATTCATGTATAGGTGCTGGGTGGTTAATCCCAGTTCGCATATACATGTATAGGTGCTGGGTGGTTAATCCCAGTTCGCATATACATGTATAGGTGCAGGGTGGTTAATCCCAGTTCGCATATACTAGTACATGAATAGGTGCTGGGTGGTTAATCCCAGTTCGCATATACATGTATAGGTGCTGGGTGGTGGTTAATCCCAGTTCGCATATACATGTATAGGTGCTGGGTGGTTAATCCCAGTTCGCATATACATGTATAGGTGCAGGGTGGTTAATCCCAGTTCGCATATACTAGTACATGAATAGGTGCTGGGTGGTTAATCCCAGTTCGCATATACATGTATAGGTGCTGGGTGGTTAATCCCAGTTCGCATATACATGTATAGGTGCTGGGTGGTTAATCCCAGTTCTCATTCGCATGTATAGGTGCTGGGTGGTTAATCCCAGTTCGCATATACATGTATAGGTGCTGGGTGGTTAATCCCAGTTCGCATATACATGTATAGGTGCAGGGTGGTTAATCCCAGTTCGCATATACATGTATAGGTGCTGGGTGGTTAATACCAGTACGCATATTCATGTATAGGTGCTGGGTGGTTGTGCCCAGGGGGCGTGCCTGGGCTGTGTTTCATAAGTTTGATAAAGTGCCTGTATGACTCCAACGTGTAAACAGTTTAACATCAAACCATCAAACCCCCGCAGTGTTGGTTCTAGTTCAGCTCGCTTGTGTCGTTATAACATTGTCGGATGAAATATAACTATTTTTGCAGTGCCAAGTGTCAAGTTGTGAAGACTTCAAAGGATCTACGTTCATGGCACAAAGACCTTCAAGAAGTGATGAAGTTCAAACGTGGAACCTGTGGGTTATGTCCCTTTGTGTGTTGTTTAACACACATATGCTTTGAGGTGTTATAACATAATGCAATGTTGTACATACAAAGCTCGGGCTAAACTGGTTATACCACAGAGAGTAGTTGGGTTATGTATACTATACGACTGTATAACATAGCATAATGGAACAATACATGGGCTGAATATGTAAACTGGAATAATCAACACACAATTGAAATCAGTTCGTCGTGTTTATGAAATAGTGTATAGGAACAAACCTACCTTGTTTTACAACGATGGCAGACATGAAAACCCGTGCTCCTTCACAGGGCGTTTCAC